TTAGTTTTTAATAAAATATTTATTAAAATAAATAAAAAATACATCTTGATAAACTAATTGAAGTTAAAAAGTGTATGATGCGATTGCCCTGGGCCACATCGATGATGAAAATTTGACTTTCAGCCAAATTTTGCCTGGCGCAAATCGGGCAAACACATCTATTTTGTAGTATTCAGTTAGTTAGTGGACTCGCTGCATTCCCTACTGTGTGTTCGTTGCAGACTGACGCTTAGCTCTCACACACCAAACTCAATCGCCGTTTGTGCTCTTTATTACTTGTAAATTAATTTTGAAATTTTAATTTGTACCAAAAACTTTAATTGTTAAATCTATAAAAATAAATAAAGATCATGAAAGAGAAATATAAAAAAAAATAATTTCTAAACAAATGGAACCTAGAATTACTGGTGGGGAAATAGTAATAGCTGAGAATTCCAGATTACAAATTAAAGTTTACGAACTAGAGCAAAGAATTCGCGCTTTTAATGCTGACAGAGATGAATTGGTTCAAGAAAACACGCTTTTGAGGAATAGAAATGATGAACTTGTAACGGATAATAATCAGATTCGTGCAGCAAATGAAAATTTAACGCGTTTGAATTCTGCATTAAGAATTGTGTTAAGGGATACTGAGGATGAACGCGATCATTATCGTGCTGTGAATATAAAAGAATTTGATGATTTTATTTCGAATTTCGTGTTTGGTTTGTTTAATGATTTTACGTGGATTACAAATAATCAATATGTGACTAGATTCATAGATTTTTTAAATTTTTTTAATTTTTTTCAAATACCAATCGTATTTTATTATATTAAGATAATCTATCGAAAGTTTTTATGGACAATACTCGTGATTCCGTATGTAAATTTGACAGAAATGAAAAGAATCTGTGTTATTGAAGTTTTGTTTGTTAATATTATTACCATCATTGTCAGGATACATGATTGGTCTTCGATAATTTGTATTTTCATTCTCTCTAAACCACGTGAAATTTGCACTTTGCTTCTTTTTTGACTTTTTATCAACTGATTCTTGAGTTTCAGAATCCGAATTACTTGGATGAGACATTTTAAATTACATAAAGAAAAATCTAATCGGTTAAATAAAGTTTGCTTTGTTTGTACGATGATATGAAGTTCCCGAATCGATGATACGGCTACGACCCTATCTCGCTTCAAATCGTCGTAGCAAACGCATCAAACTAAATATTTTTCCACCTCCGGTAATTATTACCCTTGCTTAATTTAACTTCCGTGTTTGAAATGTCCTGCAAGCAGGGTTTGTAGTTTGTTATTTTTTTTTTCCTCAGAAATTTTGAAGATCGTCCTATAAACGCCATCTTGGCTGAAGCCTGCGACGTTTTTAAGATACGATCCTCAAAATTTAGATTACTGAAAAATTTTACAAGAATTATTTTTATAATTTAATTAAAAAAAAAAGTTATTTATGAAATTTTATTAATATAAAAAATTAATTTCTCTTTCTTTTAGATTTATGGATATATTCTATTACATTTTTTCTATTTTTGATTATCTCATTGATTCGTAAACAAATATCTTTAGGCGCTTTCAATTTGGTCTTTTCTCTTCCAGTTGTCCAATCATTCTTTAACCATTT